AAGTAATTTTGTGAAGACATTAAAATGTCTGGAATATTTTTCTGCACTAAATTTTATTTGCATTCCAGTACAAGTCAGGCTTCGACTGTAAAGCAGCCTCCCACGCCACCTATCACAGGATGGAAGAACTTCCCTTTTGGTAATATCCCTCCGACCTTTTCATATGGTGATATATACCAGTACATAATTGCTTCAGCCAGACTACAGCCTCTACCACAAGTCACTCCTATCAACACTAGTGATGATGATGAAGAGGATCAGGACAACACCTTTAGCACAGCAAAGCCCATGAAGAAGGGAAGAGCTTTTTTTAAGAGTGGCCACATACAAAATATTCAAACTTGTTCTAATAATGATTATTATTATCTTAAATGTGAATGTCTTCCGTCATACAGACTGGGTATGATGTACCATGCACATGTTACACTTGATAAGTATGCTGTAATTCAGGATGCATCATGTGCAGGATTGTTGTTTGCTTTAGAGGATTACACTGTTAACTTTGGTTATACTGCACCCTCGTGTACTTCTTTGACTTGTTCCTGGAATAAACCCCGAAACAAAAAGAGAAACCCACAACCTGCTCAAACTTTGCAGTACAGCAAAAAGCGAGCACCAAACCATGTCATTGATCATGACCCACGTCCTGTTGTAGATCAATCCAATAAAGCTGATAGTAGTTTTGCGACTGCTTTCATTTCCACAGCACTAGCCCTGGACACAAAAAACATCATGGCACAGCATCCTAGAAATAACTTACGATGATTATGAATTGTCTAATGACTTAAAACTTTATCTCATGGACAGGTGTGATGTTTTTATTGAAAATGTGAAAGATATCATATCAGAATATGGAGTTGGCTCATGTGAAGTACCTGGTACTGAAGGTCAAGCAACTTCTGATCAGTGGCATAATGCCAGGTGGTACAGAGTGACAGCATCTATTTGTAAAGATTGTGCTACTGTATCCACAGGTCGAGGTAGATATCGTATGTTATCATCACATGTTTGGGGTATTGATTGTGTTGATACAGCTGACATGAGGTATGGTTCATGTAATGAAAAAACTGCATTTGAAGACTATTCATTAAAACATATAGAAACATTTACTTGCCATGCAAGTGGTTTCTGGATAAATTCCAAGTATCCTGAACTAGGATGTAGCCCTGATGGCATATTGCAGTCTCTCTGTTCCGATGTAGCTTGTGGAGTTTTGGAAATTAAGTGTCCATCAGTGCTAGAAAACATTGCTCCAATTGAGGCAAAAGAAAAACTCACAAAGAAGCAATATTATTCATTTTGCAGCACTTTGGAAAATGGGAAACTCCAGTTGAAAAGAAATCATAAATATTATTTTCAATGTCAAATGCAAATGGCCATCTGTAAAAAGTCTTTTGGTGACTTTGTAATATGGTCCCCAAAGGGCATGTCAGTAGAAAGATTATTCTTCAATAAACTATTTTGGGAACAGACATACCACCGCTTGAAACTATTTTACAAATATATTCTGGTTCCTGAGATATTTGAAATGAGAGTGCCAAGAAAGCTACTTCCCTTTGATCTGTCAAAGTAAATGTTACAAACTGTGGTATCAATAAACAAATGTAAACAAATAACTAGACATGGTAGTTAATGGTAAATGTACTGTTTATTTACTTCAACAATACTTTGAAAATATGTACAGTCATATGCTGAGTACATGATGAATGATTCAGCCTCTTAAATACTGCATATCATCATGATTGTTAGTGCAATACTATTTTATACATGAACCTCTGGCTTGAATGCATAGAAATAATGCATAGAAATGCTGCTCAAATGTAACATTTTATGTTTTGGTATTATACTTTTTCAGTGAAGTATGGTAGAGATGATAGTAAGTTTGTAAGGTTGAGTCCAACCAATCTGTCTAAAGTACTAGAATCTGTACCATACTTTAGTGAGAAAGTGTAATCTCAAATATAACATGTTCATACAAATAAATCACACCTGTTACCACTGTGTCACTATGCTATTTACATCCATGAAGGATTTTACTAATGATGTCATTATGTGCTATCATTGCACAGGCTATTGTATTTCATGCCTCCAAGTGAAATAGTTATTCACTGTCGGGAATCATTATGTATTTTGTGTGATGACAACAATGTTTGTCAGGGACTATTTCTTGTGTACACTCCTGCATTGTGGCTAAAGTCTGTCTGACTTGTGACCCAGATAAACAATGACCTATTACACAAGTAAATGACAATTTTCTGATAACTTTCTTGCTCAGAAGTGTTTTAAAGTATATTCCATGACTGATACTATTGAAAATTAAACTTCATTGCACTGAAGAACTAATTTGATCTGTTTGACATTTCTATGGTTACGGTGACCTGTCAACAACATTTAGGTAAGGCATGGTGACTGTAAATAACTGGATGTCTGTTTTCCTATTAAAGTCATATTCATTATCTGATATTTTCATGCATTGTTTTAAGACAGAGTACAATATATATTCTACTGTATTTCCCACATGTGTACCTGCAATATGACAGTAGTTCAAGGTTTTGACATTTGTTGCTGAGGCACTATTTGACAGTCTGCTGTCCATATCCTCGGTTTGCATTTGCCACATATTTTAGTAAATCTTGTATAGTCCAAATTATTAAAGGCCACATTGGACAACATCAATTCCTTGATACAGAGTATATTTACGCTACACTGGGCCCAAGTTATCAATGGTTTTAACATACATTTGACATCTGTAGAATGCCGCCCCAGATGCTTGGTCTGAACATAAGGTTGTGCTTATTGCTATATCAGATGTTAGATATAGAAACTGGTAGATATATGTAAAGAAACCAAACTACTCAAGATTGTGTGAAATGTGTTCCTGTAACTATGTGGAAAATGAGTACCACTTCTTACTGATTTGTACTGCTTATGATGATCTACGTAAACGTTTTATCCCTGTCGATGTTTTCACCCATTCAACCTTGTGTAGATTTAATCAACTGATGAGTAATGCTACTCCTCTGGCTTTAAGAAATTTTGCCTTGTTTATCTTCTATGCTAACAATCATCGTCGCTACAGCTTGAAGGCTGCCAATGTATAACGTTGTACCATGGGCCGATGGCCTACATTCACATGAATAAAGACTAGGCTAGTTACATCAGATGTTAGCACAAATCTCATTTGTCCAAACTTTTCAGACACTTTGTATCACATAAGGACAATACCAACTGATAAAAGGAAACTGATTCTTTTGTAAGTTTCACTTGTCATAGAGCTAACCACCAACTAAGATGGCGGCCACTGATGCTACGATGCATGAAGATATTGTCCATTTAATTATAACAAATTCTCTTGATATCCTAATCATTTCTACTGAGTCCTAATTGTATTCTGACAAACAGGACAGCATAAGGATAATTAGTAGTCACTTGTGTTAGAAATGAAATTACCTATGCATTGTTTCTGGTATGAAAGCCATCAAACCTGTATTCTGATTGGCTAAGAAAGGTCACATGACCTGTTAATGATGCCCATAAATATGATCACTGGTCAAGGTGTTTGACAATCAACTATTACATCACATTCAATTTATTACTCTTACTTTATCCGTTCCTGCTATTACTTTTACCTGGCACATCAACCACTCTTATATTTATCATCATAACTGCCACTAGGTAATTCCTTCCTGATCTGAATATAACTTTTAAGGTACAAGTTTCCTTGCTTACCATAATTACTTTATTGTTCTGCAAACACTTCAAAACAATCAATCTTTTTCTGATAATGTGCCATGAAGGAAAAATGTGATATTTAAAAGTAATAAACTTTGTGCATGCAAACAGTAATTGTATAGTGAAATGTATTCATGAGTGAGGAATATCAACACCTAATAACTACTTACATGTTTAAACTGAGAAGACAAGAGTTTATCATCACAGATAATGTACATTCAATAATATGAGGAGGATACTGCCTTCCTTACTTAACAAGCGGTGGCTGGTAGTTTGAAAGCATTCCTATAACAAACACTATCTGGGATGCTAAGTGTTTCATTGAAAGATGAATAACAGCGCTTAATATTCGATATTCCCTCAACTTTCCCACAGATCTCTCCACATGTATTTTTGTCCTGGCAATAGATCGAGTCAAGATGTCTTCTTTAGGAGTCAGCTTGTCCCTTTTGCCTAGGAATGGGGGAATATTCAAATGTGCTCTACAGCTCATGAGGAGATCTTTGATAGTGAAGCCTCTATCAGCTAAAACCAAATCACCTGGGTTTATTTTTTGCAGAAAGCCTGATTTCCTGACAATATCTCTGTCTGATATGCAACCTTCATATGCATCAGATACAAATGTAACAGCCCCAGTTGGAGAAATACCGAGTAAAACCTTTAAGGTGTTGTGAGTCTTGTACTGAGAGTACATGTTACCTTGCTCACCATAATCACTTGGTCTTTCTGTAAACACTTCAAAACAATCAACAATGACTCAGATGTTTTTGAAACTTTTAAAAACAGATGGCAATGTTTTCCTGATAATGTGCCTTGAAGGAAAGATGTGATCTTTTAAAGTAATTAACTTCATATACAGAAACTGAATCCAAGTGGTAATGATACAGGACACAGAACCAACACTGATGTTATATCTATAGGATAAATCTTTTGTGGGCAAATTTCTCCTTAATCTTACAAGCGTCAAAACAAGTTGGTCTTTTACTGTCAAAACCCTGCATTTACCAGATTTATTGGAATTCATCTTATTTCCACGCCAGTAGCAAATGTCATTCACACTGTCACCAAGAGAAGAAAAGAGATGATTGAAGTGAACAGTTTTCATACCAGTGTAGTAATTTTAAATTTCTTCTTATTGCACACTAGATTATCAAAAGTAAATCACAGGTTTTGTTGTCTAGATTTCTGCTAATTCCACAATCTGAATCAGGGACTTGCGCTGTCATCTTTCATAAATCTTAGATACCAAGATGCTTGAACATACAAACTCGGCCTGGCTGGACATGTCTTGAGTTGATGGCATGTAGCTTGGCAGGCAGCATCACTGGAACTGTGCTCAGTCAAGGCAGTCTCTTCAATGTCACAGACATTCTGTTCCAATACATAAAAAAAATTATGTTGAACGCAAAATGTTTGATCAGTTACATATTTAGACAAGGTGTACATTTGGTAGTATTGTAGAGGCAATGGGTGATTAATAATAGTAAGAGCATGGTCCTAGTAACTCTTGTGCCTCACGGTTATACTCAAAAGATATATTAAATGTGTTTAGGGTTACAAAGTTACATACTTTCATTATTAGTAGCTTGAATTCTTAAATTGTACATTGTAAGATTAATTTGAACAAAATATAGATCTAATGGTTTGATGCATGATTGCAAAACACTTAATATCAGATAAAAGACTTAAACACAACTTTACATCTATGACACAGTTATGACCATACCAATTCAGTACAGATTGTCTCCTGATCCTCTGGATGCTTTCTTGAGGTGTAAGGGTGGTCAGCTGCACATACTGCCAACAAGGATAGGCCATCATCACCTGCTGTCGAAGTTGGGTCCAACCTGGATACCTTGGATGGAAGAGGGTGTCTCTCCACTGGGTTCTTCCTCTTCTTGGAAAAATGCACCACCTGGAATTTTTTCAATTTGGACTGCATAAATCTGCCACTATATGTTTGAACATATCATCATGATCATTTTTACAAAAAAGATAACATCAATGACATTTTTTATTGAATTTAAAATTTGTCATAATTCATACATACATCAGGTGTCAAATCTAAATGCTCACCACGTTTTACATTGGTTTGACCTTTATGCGTATATGTAGTATGACACTGGCTTGTAGACAATGTTTTTGACGTTATATTTGAACACAAACATAAAAATCATGACACGTACCTGATCAGATGTATATGTTGCCGGGATAGGGTCGGGATGTTCAAACGATGGACCATTCCCACCAACGAAGTGTTTGGAACATAGGTAGGTGTATTTGTTGACCTTGTCTGTTGTGAATCCATCTCGCGAACAAGCGCGAACCCACCTCGCACACTTCTCAGGCTCCTTGTGGAACTTAGGAAATAAAATAAAATGAACCCCGGCCATCTCCGGTCTCTCCCCGTATCGGTTGTCGCTTCGGCAGATCCCATACGCACAGTGTTTAGCCGGCATCGTGTAAGTATATCCGAAATCGTGTTGTTGTTTTGACAAGGGGAAGAGGGACAAATGTCAATGTTTGTCCCTCGTTTTTCGCGCATGCGCGATTCTAAAATAGAGCGGAAGTACCCTATATTCTATTTTTAGAAGTTTAGACTAGTTGATGAAATGGCCTATTCGTTTGATATGACAATATGACACCGACATAGACATTAAGCACGAGATAAATATACTCCCCAGCATTGAAAACGCACCTCTTACAAAATTTGAAATTACAAAAATCACGTGTAAGCAATTTATATTTTTTAGTGGATAAGATGCACAACTAACAAAAACAACAACAACGCTCATTCATTTAATTGTTTCACAGTCACAAAGGATCAAACACATGTGGGGTCAAATCGAAATTTGCATTGACACATGCAGTGCAACATGTACATCTCCTCATGGAGTCAATAAGCCTACAAATAGTGTTCTGGGGGATGGCATTCCACTCCTGCAGTAGTGCAATCTCAAGTTCCGGTTGTTTCGCATCTATTGTCGACGCGAAAGATGTTGACCAATTTCGTCCGACAAGTGCAAAATAGGGGATAAATCTGGTGACAATGGGGGCCAGTGAATTACCGTAATGTGTTGCTGGGCCAGATACTGGACGGAAAGCTGTGTGTGTTCGTGCGTTGTCCTTTCGAAAAGTATGGACTTCTTGGTGGTTATTGAAGAATGATACGATGTCATTCTGAAGAATCTGGTCACGGTAGTAAAGGGCATTAACTCTACCGTGACAGACATGAAGGGCAGTCCTGTGATTGCAACTTATTCCACCCAAGACCATGACACTTGCACCTCCTCAACGGTCTGTCTGAGTCACACACCCATAAGCATAATGTTCACCACGTCTACACCAAACACGTAATCGGCCGTCAGCATTACGTAGGTGAAAACGTGACTCATCAGTGAAAGCCACACCCTGCCATTTTTGTAACTTCTATTGAACATGCCCACTGTATACACTCATTAAAGTGTCGGTCAGTTTGAATTGGTCCAATGTAAGGCATTGTAGACGGCATTGCACGGTGTTGGCACTGAACTAGTGCAGCAGTCAAGTGTTCAATCATAAATATGGTCACAGACAATATGGCGATCCTGACAGGGCGTATTTCACAAGGTCACGGGTGATGACTGTATGCTGATGTTGTCTATGAAGCCTGCGATGGCCATGAGGTGAGGTGAGGTGAAATTGGGTTTAACGTCGTGCTTGAGAATATCTCGCTCATATGACGACGTGCATGCGTGTGTATGTGCGGCTGCTTGTACTAGCCCAGACTGAAGCTGGTTTTATAGTGCTAGCCCACTGAGATACCATGCCACAGTGAAGCATGAATACCCCACTCAGACACATTATACTGACTCCGAGCCGACCAGTCCTTGTTGTACCCATTAATGCCGAGCGACAGGCAGGGACCAACAAGTACCATATTTTAACGTCTTTTGGTATGACGCGGTCTGGGATGGAACCCGCGACCTTCCGCTCTCCGGGCGGACGCTCTAACCACTACACCACGGAGGCGGCCCGATGGCCATGAAGCAACTTCATGTTAGTCATACTCATTGATAATTGTCATTCTGAAATCCATTCTGATGAAAATATGGAGAATTTGAGACTGGTTCGTTTTCAATGCTGGTGAGTATGTATTTAGTAACAAAGTTCCATTTCAAGCTTCACAGATTGATTTCCACTCAGCTTTAACATTGTTTAAACGTTATTTTAACGACATACAAAATCAAGACCTACCCAATTGTTTATCACATTAATTATATAATTTCTGGCTTTTACACATCTTTCAACAGCAAACACTTTGTTGTAAAATGGAGCCAGTTCAATTCAATTTAGCAAAGTTAGTACAAGAGTTGCCTAAATCCATCAAGATTGACACAGTGAATATCAAAACCCTCAAATATTAAAACCCAGTAGTTTTATGTCCTACTTGATCAAATGTTAGCCAAGTGGTAAAGACACTGAGTTTTGTAATGATGTCCTATCCCCAGCACTCCCTGCAACATACATTCTTGTGATCGTAGTTTGTAAAATATTTATGCTTAAACCATGATCTATAGCGTTCAGCATCTTCCCCATGAATGTGACTTCCCAGCTAACACGAAAATGTTTTAAAAATATCCTCAGAACATTTCGTGAAATGTTCCAGAAACATTTTTTTAAATGTTTTATTCACGTGATTTTGTATGGTTCCAGAAATGTTTTAGAAACATTTTCAAAAACGTTTAATTATAAGGTTTTTAAAATGTTTTCCTGAAATGTTTTTTCGAGATGTTTTGGAAATGTTTTAAAAAATGTTTTATTCACGTGATTTTGTATGGTTCCAGAAACGTTTCAGCAATGTGGAATGCTTATCTCATGCTTATCTCATATTCGCCCTTGCTGCAATGAAAATAACAATGTTCCATATTATCACAAGTTATAAATTGAACCGTTTTCCATAAAGCATATAAAGTAGATCTAGTTAGTCTAAAGCTGAAACATACTATGTAATTGCCTCAAGTTTTTGGTGGGTTTTCATTTACAACAAACTTGGATTACTGGCGAGCGTTTCGAGCCCAGAATCCAAACTGGAATTGATTTATTACACATCTATTGTAACTAGCTACATGATTCAAGCCTTACACGCGGAACAGTTACAGCTGCAGTACGATTTCGTTGCGAGCATTGTAACCAGATTCTTCAGTTTTCGATCACGAAAACCAAGAATTGTAACAACTTTATTTGGTCCAACATTTACTAAACTGAGACCACGCCATTTTCACTATGGAATACTGTACCATGAAAAATCATGAAAAACCCTAATCAACACGGTTTCAAACGATGTCACTTATATATTGGTGTCAAACCACGACATTGTTTATATCTCCTTCCTGCAAAAGCAATTAGATTCTAGATCAATATTTTTATGTAAATCATCACCAAACATTGATCACTTCACTGAGAATATATTGTGATAGTCTGTCACTCTGTGGCCATACAGTGACAACTCATAGCCGAGGACTAGTCATCGCCAACGCCCCGTTATAGTGTAGGCCACACGTTTATTTCTGGCTCTTGTCTAGAAGGGAAATACATCTATCCAAAACCGATCAATTAATTTGTCTGGGGAAAATTTAAGAATACACAGTGTAAACAGAGTACCTTTAATAAGAGACCATTTAATAAATATTATTTATTATATCGTCTCTGCTTTAGTATAGCACTTCAAAACATGCGGTAATAGTGGACAACCCAGCAGATGGTCATTTAACATTTAGTTTAGTCAGTGTTAATTAACAAGAATGCGTCTGTCATTTCTTTTAAGAAATAGTTTTTTATAACATGCACACACTATGACAGCCAGTAACTATCCCACAGTCAAGTGGATCAGAAACTAATTTCGAAATTATTTCGATTCCCCATTTTCGTGGTATAAAATCGACACAACTTTCCAACGACTTAAACGAGCAAAATTGTCATAGTTTAAAAAATTGAAATTCAGATGCAATGTTAAATTAATAAAATGTCCTTCAGAAATAACATGGAAAAAATTAACAACGATAAGAGCCACTGGCTTGTCCATACGTGTACGATCGAAAACCGAACGTAATAGCGGCATTAACCGCCTTACTGAACTCTGCTTGAACACATATTGCTCGCTCTTGATAGCCCAATTATCCTTTTATGTAACATAAAATTAATTAGGTACAAACTCTCTTAGACATTCTTCACAACGATATAATATATATCCAAAGCGAGCTGAATTCGATGTTCTAGTGATTTCGAAGATTACATTGCTCGCGCTATATCGGGGGGATTACGTTCGCAATCGGAGTGCACAAGCCGTTTCACTGGTAGGGCGGATGCAAAAATATCAATATTATTTACCCGAGATCGTTAATACCAGTTCAGATGTAAATCAATTGCCTATATAACCAAATATAGCAAAAAGATATGTAAGATCTGTCGTCTGCTGGTGACAAGCAATATACCAGATATAAACAGGAAGCCACGTGATCACAACACTCACTCGCATGGCGGAGCGAAATGTATACAAATCCCAGATGTGGAGATGTTTCGCCGATAAGATATCATCAACGCTATTTTTGTAGGAAACACAATATTTTTTGTGTGAAATAGCTAAATATATCCCTTTTCACTCAAGGTTAGTAAAATAAAATTACGTTTTTGTCTTACATCGTCGAAAAAAACCTGTCACCGGGATTCTCTGTTGGAACACTGAGTCACGTTTCCTCAAAACCCCGCTACTTTTGAGTAACACAGTATTTTAATCGAGTGAATATCAAAATGTACATAAACATGAAAATAATGACTGTAAAATTAACTCACCGCAACCGAGGTCACATCGATGATCCAGTTCCAGTTGTTGCGCCATGAGTCGAATGACAAGGTGGTTGGGTCCTGAATAAACTTCAACTAAGATGGCGGGTGTAAAATTATGACGTGATGGGTGACGTCATTCCGACGTCATTTCCCGCGGTAACAATAAGGCATTGTGTCGCAACATTTTAAAAATGTTATCAAAATGTGTAGGTGTGATATCATTTCAAAACCCTTTTAAGAACAAGTCATAATAAAAACACATTTTAAATGTGATGACAGATCCGGCTAAAACATTTCAGGAACGTTTTCAGGCACTTTAATGACAAGCCATTCATTAGAACGTGGCTGAGTGAGATAATTGTTTGTGATTGCAGTGTATGTACTGTTTATGCTACACCAACGTTACAACAGAAACCGTGTTTTAAAACGTGATCACAATTAAACATGTTCGTGCACATCATTTCTGCAATGTTTTAAAAACATTTCAATCATATGCTATGAAATAAACTCTGTCAAAAAAGAAACGCAACCCCTGTCCTCAGATATGAAAAATTCGTTTGAATGAAGTTATTGCTTCCAAACTAAATTTTATTCGAATGTATTGAAATGATACACGTAATTAATGAAGATTACCATCCAAACAACTGCATTTGTACGCATAAGTGTATTTTATTGCTTATTCCGTCACAACGCATGAAATGACCCTCATGGTGACTTCGCACAAAAAAAACACATGCAAATCATGAAAATGGCAGTTAATGTAGGGGTGTATAAAAGCCCATGTGCTTCCGTATTATATTCATTCATTTGTCGCCGAAAAGCTGTGTTAAAAATGCCACGATTGAGTGCTGCCGACCGAAATATCGCCATTGGTCGTGTTCAAGCCGGAGAAAGTTTTGGAACTGTTGCACGGCACCTAAAATGTTCACAAAACAACGATATCCCGACTTTGGAGCCGCTACAACAACTTAAATTTGACCAACGATCGCCCGAGAAGTGGAAGGCCAAGAATCACGACCCCCCTTCAAGATCGGTACATCCGGGTCCATCACCTGCGTAATCGGCATGCCCTACCAACCGTGACTCCCACACAAATACCAGGTTTGAGGAGTGTCAGCTCAAACGATTAGGAACCGTCTGAAAGAAGCGGGTTTACGTGCCTGTAGACCAGTTGTTGGACCTGTACTACGCCCCTACATCGACGCCGACGACTCAGGTGGTGCAACAACGTAAGGATACGGACTTTACAAAACTGGAGGCGAATCTGGTTTTCTGATGAATCACGTTTCTTTTGCAACGTCACGACGGAAGACAGCGTCTGTATAGGAGACGTCATAAACGTTTTGCGCCCATCTGCGTCCGACAGGTGGACAGATTTGGCGGAGAAAGCGTCATGGTTTGGGGAACCATCTCATACAACCAGAAATCAGACTTGGTGATCGTTCCAGGGAACCTGACAGCCCAACGTTACATCAACCACGTGTTAGAGCTTCACCTTCTCCCGATTATTGACCAACAGACACAGATTTTTCAACGGGACAACGCCCGGCCTCATACTGCACGTGCAACAATGAACTCTCTGCAGAATTCCAACGTCAATGTCTTGCCATGACCCTCTAAATCACCAGACCTCAACCCTATTGAACACCTGTGGGATACTCTGGATCGACGCGTACGTCAACGTCAGCCGCCGCCACAGACGCTGCAACAGCTCGCCCAGGAAAGAATCCGGCGTCTTATCCGTTCTTGTCCAAGGAGATGCCGTGCAGTGATTGCAGCGCGTGGTGCTCATACGAGATACTGAGAAAGACGCCCCCCAGGTGACAAACTGGTGTCTGTGAGATGACTTTTGAAATGACAATTTTAAACATGCCCATCTGGGTTATTATTCTGCCAAATTTCAGACTTCTGTCTTAAATAATAAAAATGCCGTGTCGTCCTAAAACTTCAGATCAAAATCTCTAAAATACAGGGGTTGCGTTTCTTTTTTGACAGAGTTTAGTTTCACTCATGTTACAGCATGGCGTTTCTGAACAACATTTTGAAAACATTTCAAAAACATTTTCAGTATTTTTGAGATATTCACACATTATTTGTATGACTATGTTCTTGCATAATCCCTGCAGCGTTTTAAAAACATCTCACTAATATGTTGTGAAATGGTTTCAAACGCGTTATAGCATGACGTTTTTGAATAACATTTTGAAAACATTTCAAAAACATTTTCAGTATTTTTGAGAGATTTAGACATTATTCTTATGATACGGCATAAATGAGTGCACAATGTTTTTAAAACGTGATGACAATATTTCATTAAACATGTTCTTGCATAACATTCCTGCAGCGTTTTAAAACAGCTCACTAATATGTTGTGAAATGGTTTCAAACACGTTATAGCATGACGTTTTTGAACATTTTGAAAACATTTTCAGTATTTTGGGAGAGATTTAGACATTATTTGTATGATATGGCATAAATGTGTGCACAATGTTTTTAAAACGTGATGACAATATTTCATCAAACATGTTCGTGCACAACATTTCTGCAACGTTTTAAAAATATTTCAATGACATGTTATGAAATAGTTTCTCTCATGTTATAGCATGACGTTTTTGAATAACATTTTAAAAACATTTCAATAACATTATGAAACATTTTTATAACGTTCCAAAAACATTTTTGAAAAAACTATTTTGAAACCTTATGAAAATGTTTCGAAAATGTTTTGTGTTAACTGGGTTCCCGTATACCCATTGGGCACTGGTAATTTTCTTTGTTTATTCTGGCTTCGTGGCCCATATGTTCAAGAAAGGCAGCTTGATCGGTGGTGCTCATGTCCAGACTGGCGTAATAGCTGGAAATTCTGGGTGGCGTTCACCCTCGCGCCAGCCTGCGAGCAAACATCCCTAACACAATGCCACCCATAACAATGGCTATTTCACCCCTTGGTCGCGAAGAGGAATATGTTTGGGTCTCTAATTCCATTTTCTCCTCTTCGATTCAGAAGTATTTGGACTGCTTCAACGATATCATCTTCGTAAAAAATGTATTTTATGTCCATTATCTGCATTTTTGTATGGAAGTCGAACGGATTTCAAGCTGAGGTCGGCGGAATGAATCTGCCAACCTCCTTCGATTTCAGTGAATTCTTACATGGCTTTAGAAGATTTATCGTGAGAGGATTCAGTGAGGAGCAAAGTGAGACTCAGTGTGAATATGGTTTTCGGAGTTATTACGAACGATGACGACTTGAGCAATATTTTCATTGACCGGCTACGTCGGAGAGACCGCAGTTGTATTTTGCCCCATATTTGTAACGTATTCATTTTAAAACTGGAAGTGAGTGCGAACAGTGTGCATTTTATTCGTGTCTAATTGTGATTGAACCCATATTACTTTGTTTAACAGATACACTTACCAGACCATCATGTTTGTTTTGGGAAATACACAGTCGCCGAGTGTGCTGGGATCTGATGGACGGAAGGGCGAGATGTCTGATAGTTGTGACCTCCCTACTGTTCCCGAAACTCCGTCGACAGAGATTATACATGGAGTCTGACCAATACCAAAGTCTTCCAATGTGCCAGTCACCCAATGTGCCAGTCACCAGCTGCGATTCTCACACAAAGACAAAGATATGTGATAAACATAACACACATCACTTTTCATTCCATGTTTAAAATATAACTCATAATAATTAGTTTTTAATAATATTTTCTGAATTTATTTCATGTTATTCTCTTGGTTTGACACTTACAGATCACAGTCTGCAAAAGTGTTCAAGACTTGAGCACAAGTTTCCTGATGACACAATTTCCTGGATGTGTCTCACTTAGATGAGACACCGATCAAGCTTATAGGATAGATGAGACATTGTTTGTTGCAGCAGTGACTGAGCACAAACCTGCAAATAAACCATCTTTACAGTGTTGGACCTGAGGGAAGATTGTCAAGACCTAAGGTTCCTTGAATCTGCAAGTGAGGCGCCACACTAAAGATGTCACTTTCTCATGTGAATTGTGGGGAAAGTTTTTCCTTATCAACCAAACGCTGAAGGAACATGTTGCTAAAGTACACAAACAGACTGTGTTGTCAAGTGCAAGGTTTGCAGTCAAGTTAAACATTTCGGGGTATCCTGGTATGCGCGAGCATGTTAAGAAGCATGCTGGCGAGGAATACAAGTTTTCATTGGTAAAATGAATGACCATGGCCAGTTGTCAGATTCCTAAATACATAATTTGGAAACACGAATTATAATTGCCACTATATCCATACCACCTTTGCTTATTTGAAGTTCATTTGTTTAGATTTAGTAATCGAATTTCCTCAAATCTCTTTTTCTGGTGTTAGAGATTGTAAATTCTTGTTGATGTTGGAAAATACTTGTGCATGCTTGTAATGTCTGTTTATGTGACTTTGTGTTTTGAAAGTAGTAGGAAGGATGTTTGGCTAACCAGGTTAGCTATGTGATAATGGCAAAGATAACTAACAAATAACTACAATGATCTGTATTTTAATGTTGTTTTTATCAACCATGTTAACTTGTAATAAAGATAAATTTACAGCGATATATAAAGTTCAAGTGTTTTATTCATTGACAAATATGAATATGACTTTCTTTGTCCAATGATAATCAGTAGATAAAAATGTCTGTTATTTTCTGTTTATGTAAGACACAACATCACATGTCCAACTTTACAATTCCCATATTTACACATTATGAAAGTACATATGTAAAAACATAACAGATTCAACACTTGGACATCTGTTCATCAGTGGGCGAAAGACCAGCTCTTATTAGTCGCTACATATTGCTTTCCTTGACTTTGTGGGTAGCTCCAAGACCAGGTTCATGCAGACTTGACATACCCTGCTAGGGTTTCCTCACACAATGTAGCCTACTGGGGGCATCAAACAAGTCGTCCTGTAATAGGAATGAAGAACACTTTTAGTGGAATGCAATGTGTGTGTGTGTGTGTGTGTGTGTGTGTGTGTGTGTGAGTGAGGGGTTTAACTTTGACGGAAGAGGACCAACATTATTATACTTGAAAATATCACACCAATACCTCTGCAAGATAGCAATCAGTTGAAAATTCAGATGATCAAATTGTTAAACCCGTGGAATCACACTGTAAACCATGGTGCACTGATGAGTTAGTCATCTAAACAATAAGCTACCACACTGCTAGATTCTACATATTTAATAAAACTATTAATAGTAAAAAAGTAATGGTAAACAAAACTGTCGGCCAGTGTTTGTTAGAAAACGCCATTAGTTAAACATATATAAATCTTAAATGTCAAACAACACCAGCCTTCCTAGTACGGTGTGGGACTTACCTGGTTGGATCTTGTCTTACAATGCTCTCCCCACAGATCTTGGACGTGTTGACATGTAAACCCACTGGAGGGAAGGTTGACATTTCAGCCAGTGACAGAAGGAATTTCTTGAACCTGTAAAAAATAAGAAATAAAGCAATTTCATGAAGTTAAGAGAGTTGCTTCCTTATGGATGTTGGTCATATTACAATGATCTGTAGTCCACTGAGGAAATTCTAAATCAACTCACCTATATACCCATCTGTATCATCCTGCATCTGTCAATAGCTGATATCCCTGGGTCATCACACGCCTGGAACCACTCACGAACCTGAAATGTGTTTAATATCTGTATACCAAGAGTCCAACAGCATGATTAGTATACCATAATTTCAACAAATTAACATGTTAATCAACGATGCCAAATGCATGATCATCATATATTCTAATGCAAGTTGCACCTGACTACATATGAAATAAGTTACATATTTGCACAATAATTGATCATGCACACCTCTTAAGTAGTTCAAAATTAAAATCAACAACATATCCTTTTATCAAGTTGTCAGCTGAAAACAGCTGTAAACCAACATTCCCGATATTCACCGTAATTTCACGCGACACAACTGTACTCGAGATCTAAACAAAAACAAGTTCACTACTACATATCAATTAGACACAACATGCTAACACTGAAAAAATAAACTGGTACCAATGTGCGATTTGGAGAAATCATACCCGCCTCGATTAACTTTCAGCCTGCATTAAAGTCAAAACTTCAACCCGGAATATACAAAAGATAATACTCACCTTGTCACTTGTTTGGTTTCGTCCGCCATTTTGTCGTACAGTGTTTTTCCGGAAATGGTGTTGTCACTCGACTACGATCAGTTTTTGACGGATACAGCCGAGGTAATTATTCCGCTGCATTCTACCGAGTTTCGCATAGCGGCTGTACGCGTGTTCCGCCAACGGCCGCTGTCAAATCCGATAGTACCTATTTTTGTTTGTATATAAACTGCATTAGATTGGAATACAGACGCTATGCTACCAATACGCCATCATTATGATCTCATTCAACGCTTTTTCGTCACATAGATAGGAGGGCCTGAACTATGCAAATTACGTTAATCCACGAACTACTTTCACAAAACTCCATACACGCCATGCGAATCCTACAACGTTAACATTTCATTGATGACGTCGTCGCGAGTTTACATTGTTTGTAAACAAACATGGCTGCCCCCATTCTCAAAATTTGTGATTCTGTAAGAATTGATGACACAGGTCGTTACTGCAGTAATTGACCTTGGAAAACATGAAACGGAGTACTTCGTTCAAATTGAAGGTACGGATTATCAGGCACCACTGAAAGGCAATCGTCTAAGGAAGGTACCAACCAAGGATTTCGATCTATCGATCACAATACAGACGACGAATCGATTCCGTTAGGTATCAGAAACTGATATTGATGAGGTGATTACCCGCAATGAAAATAGAAACACAGCTAAAAAAAACGTCCCCGATTTTGTTGTTCTTTTTAAGATAGAAAGATTTTATTTTAAGCATGAATTATGTTTGCACTGTATGAGCGACTAGTCACAACCATATGCCGCCGTCATGAACGACCTTCACCTTCACCTTATGCATGATGCTCGCTAAAGGCTCGCATGATACAATTTTTATTGCTAACATATGATATTAATGATACGGAAATACACTCGGTTAGTAATCTCTATATATCCAAGTTCTGATGTAATAAAGGTTTGGCAATGATGTAAAAGAGGCACGAATTCTCAAACAGCAGTTATCATTTTAATTTTTTTATAGGAACACTACCTGTATTACATCGGAAGTACTCACATTCTTCTCCCAAACCATCTGCACCTAGTTAACAGGTATGGAAAATAGTGAGGTCCACTTGATTGTCGCATGAGTGAGAGTTGTGGGATACTATGTACTCCTTAGAGTACATGTATTACTATTGATTGATAGTTGGCAGTGATTATAACATCATTGAAAACTGAAGATTTAGTTAAAGTGTTGACAACCAATCTGTTGGATTATGTCAATGATGTAATGATTGAGGTAATATTCTTACCATCATTAACATTATGACTCATTATGTTTTTATGGGCATTACATGAAGATACGCCAATCTGAATTGGCCAATGAGATATTTCTCAGCCTCGTCTTCCACGTCTTCTACTTGATGTGCTGGTATCCAAGTACCGTCAATTGCGTCCTCCCATTCTTTCACCAGCAAGCGGGATGGCTCATCCCCACGCCTACCATTATAGAGTGTGAGTCTCGCAACCACAAGGGACCGCAACCATGTATACTTTTTGACATGGAACGGTTTGTTGTAACAAAGGCGTGTTAATTCACTTCTAATGTAATCTTTCAGTATTTTGAGAGCATCTTTGTCGGGTAGATTAGTGGGTCTCCTTGCCTTGTCCAGCGAATTAGCCATCTGGCAATATCTTGACTTTGAAAACATTTCGTGTGCCCGAAATCCATAAGCATATTGGAATTTTTCTATCCTGCATGGTTTCTGTGTTAGACTCTTTCGGGCTTTAATTGTCCTTTGTATGATGGCATTTAAATTGAGCTTTAAATAGTCCATGCTTTTCTTGACCATTTTCCTCCTCTTGTGTGTGCATTTCGATGGCTTCTCGCAAGTTTGGCAAATTTGTCCTACAGACCATCTCCTCCGGAGTAACAGGCTCAGTACACAGTGTTTTGAACCGTAAGAAAAGCCTTGAGAAGCTCTCGCATTTCAGTCATTACACATGTTTTTACTTCCTTGATATTTCCGATTTCCTCAAACAAAAGTGGCGATACCCGACCTGTTGGATTAGCCAATCAGTCCTACAGAGTTCACCCACTTTAGTGTCTCTAAATTTAAGCATAATTTCTTCTCTGATTGTCGAATCCTTGTGTAAGTCAGATACTGCTAGATGTTTTACAGGTATTGGGTCAGCAACATATTTTGAGCACGTTTCCTTCTGTTTATATTGTCATGTATCTTGGGTTGTCGTTCTCTCATGAATTTCGATGGATTTTCAACTTCTTCATTTTTTATTAGGTTCAAATTGAATGCCACCATGCCTTCTCTTCGTTTATGATAAAAACAACCTGCCTGTTTCTTTTCTGATGTGGTTAGGATTTCTTTTACCTCCTCTTCCATTTTGTGTACTCTTTGAATGTGGCGTCTTAATTTCCCCCAAAAAAGTCTTCTTGCAATAAATACAAAATCTGTCTGGTTTCTGTGAAAGAAAAACTTATATACAGTGTACTGGAAAAAGTACAAGAGCAGTGCATGTAGGATAAGATGCAAAAAGACAAATAGTTTTGAACATGGGCCTAATTCTCCTCCCAGAACCACATTCAAATATAATAAAAAAATGAGGACTATATCCAACTCTAAGCTAAGTCCAATTTAAAGTACATAATCAACTACTGTCTGCTAAATATGCATATGCTTTGAAATTTGGGCATTGTTTTTCATTTTGTTTACAAGTTGAAAGAAGTCATGAGAACTCTCTATGTGATCCGGTGCATTCAAAATTATTGTCTCTGTTTTTCCTCCTTATGACTTCCAATGATAATTTAAAAATCTGCACTTTTGTTATATCAAATAACATTTACATTATACCTAATAATTCTAAAGTGTTGCTTTGTCCCTTTTACAAAGGAACCGTGAGACCTACTTTCATTGCATATCAAATCTCAAGTGTTGCCATGCAATGTTATCAAACTACTGTTGTAACTGTAGTACTGTTCTAAACTGGGTTGTTCTCTGCTCATATTCTCAATTGGTTACTGTTACAATCAATTATAACGCTAAATAAATAAACATTTAAATTTGGATTGTTTTTGTGTTCGTCACTTTCATCCTGCAATATTTCAGAGAGATATTACTTTTGTCTTGTATGATTATTGAACTTGTACTATAACATGACTCACTTAATGAATAAAATTTTCTTGTTTGAGTGGCATTTAGAAGTTGGTGTGATGAACAACGAGGAGAGTTCTATGGATATACAACTTATTTAATAAAATATGAGCGTCATTTCGGTGTAGCTACTAACACCGTTATCAAGCAAATGATGTACAATACTAAAGGCAAAGTATATATATACATAGTAAAGTTGAACAGTAAGTGATTGATGTTTGTACAATTAATGCGGTTGATGTACAAGGTGTTTACACAAGAAGGCAAATGGTACGCAAACAGAGTAAGCTATGGGGGGATTATTGGGAGGAAGCCAGTGATATGACAGACAGGAGAATAATGGGATTAAGATTGCTTGGTGATGAGTTGGATGTAGGCAGTGGGGATGTAATATCCTTGGTCTCTGTTCAAGGCCGGTTGGAGTCTGTTGATGTGAATGGCTTCTAGTAGCCTTCTGATCTTGTGGTGGGTGTCATTACTGATGAGTACACTGATGCTGTTCCATAGGATGTTGTGGTCTGGGTGTGGTCAGAGATGGCGGATTTGGAGTCTTTCTTCCTCACAGAGGATTGATGCAACGACCCATATGTTAAGGTAATAACGTTACCATAACTGAATTGCCAGCCATCTGTTACCATAACTGAGTCTTATATCACTTATATATACATTATGGTTGTGTGTGTGTAATGTGATTACCAAGGCTAGCATAGTGATGTCCTGCATATGTATGCGCGTGTGTGCAATAGTACACATGTGCAGGTATTTGTGCACATGTACATGCCTGTGTAGTGTTCTTGTGTGCGTTGTTATTTTCTCCGGGAATACTTTTGAGGGTGAAGGGAGTATTGTTATTTCACAGGGTGTACACGAAGTGTGGTCTCTCCAACTCCTGGAGTATTGTTCTGCTTTGCCACACACATGGAGCTTGAGGTATAATGAGGTCTCATGAACATTGATCACTAATGTATTAGCATGTATGAATATATGAAACCTGATGCGAAAATAACGTGTCACAATTTAATAATGGAAATGCTATAGGCCTAATGTCCAGGAACTTTTTGCATTGTGGCCAGATTCAACAATTTCATTGAGAAAATTCAACATTCAATTATCATGAAAAATGCTAAGGATGAAATATGAAGAAGAAAAATTCGAGAACGTAAAATTTGAAATGCCTTGCCAATGGGCAGGCGTTGCCAATGCAATCGTGACCATTGTAATTGTTTGCATATGTCAAAAACCTCCCCCTCTAAAACAAATAATAAATAAAATAAAATGAATTAAATAAATATCTATATATAAAAATAAACAATATTTTAATTAAAAACTAAAAATAGTAACTTTTTAAAAAAAGAAATAAACGGACTATTGCTGTCCCAAGCACTCTTTCACCTATGAGGAGATGGATGGTCGTGTTCGTTTAGTTAGGGCTTAAGATGTCACGACGGATTGGACTAGCATGTACAAACATATAGGTAAATATAACACATAAAAATACATCCGATAATAGATTTCGATAAATTTCATTTATTTCAATTAATACAACTTACACTATAACTGATGAAAATATACCATCTCCAGGGTTTGTGAAAAGAACAAACGGAAAAAGTTGACTGAGGAATGAAAGAATATTGCTTTACTCCGTAACATTGATTTTTCAGCTATTCGCAGCGAGAACCAAGATAAACGAAGGAACGTCCACGCCAAACAGGTTTCATTAGTCGTAGAAGGCAAACTAGAGTTGAAATTAGACGAATATCTCTCATATACAAGTGGACAGGCTGTTATCATACGTCTCTTCCTGTTGACTCTTCTCTTTGTGCTTTTAAGGACGCCTACTCCAGCGGTTTTCTCCCCAATAATATGGCTACTGAAAACAGTGCTGTTAGTCTTGGGTGTTCATCTTCTGAAGACCATCCGTAAAACCTTCTGAGGCTGAAAATCC